ACAGCTCCGATAGAGAGATATTTCTCTCACAGTGCTGTGCTTACGACGTATTTGTCGTCTCTTACCGTTGTAATAACGGTTCTGAACTTTTGCAATAGCCGCGGTACTATCGCAATGGATCAAGACAGCCGGTAATGGCTTTTCCCATAGGGGAATTTCACCTAGCAGGCCTCTTAACCAACCTGCTTCTTCACTAGCCGTAGCTAGTGCTATCATTTCTGACTCCATGGTGGACTGAGCCAAAATAGTCTGTTTCTTAGACTTCCAAGATACAGCTCCACCGGCTATAGAAAAAATATATCCACTAGTAGCCTTAGAGTCATCTGATAAGGTGTTCCAGTCAGCATCACTATAGCCTTCTAGTACAGCTGGAAACCTTTCATAATGCAACCCTAGGTTCATGGTCCTCAAAGGTATCTCATGACCCTTTCAATAGCATGCCAATGCTCATTACCAGGACTAGTAAACCTGCCTAACAATCCCACGACATAGGCAATGTCGGGTCTAGTACAATCAGTGGCATACCGAAGGCTGCCAATGATGCTCGCATAATCAGATTGCCTTACGGCATCACCAGTGTTCTTAAATAATTTAACACTGGGATCATAAGGTGTACTAGCAGGTTTACAGTCAAAGTAATATATTTCTTTAGGATCTTCTCAATGTAATGAGATTGATCCAAAGAAACTCCATTTTCTGTCCTAGTAATCTTAATTCCAAGGATTACATTAGCCTCTCCTAGGTCTTTCATATCAAACTCAGCATTCAACAATAGCTTTACATCATTCACAGCATGAATGTTCGAGCCAAAAATTAACAAGTCATCCACATATAGACAAATTATAGTGCATATGTCCTTCTCAAATTTTACATATATGCATTTGTCACTACCATTTATCTTAAAACCATGTGAGATGACTAAGTTATCAAATTTTTCATGCCATTGTTTAGGTGCTTGTTTGAGACCATAAAGAGATTTATCTAGCTTACATACCAGATGCTCTTTTCCTTGAACAATGAATCCTTCCGGTTGATCCATGTAGATTTCTTCTTCCAATTCACCGTTCAAGAATGCAGTCTTCACATCCATTTGATGTACTACAAGATTAAAAACAGAAGCAAGAGATATTAATACTCTAATAGATGTTACTCTAGTTACAGGTGAATAGGTATCAAAGAAATCAACATTCTCCCTTTGTCTGTAGCCTTTAGCTACCAAACGGGCTTTGAACTTATCAATGGTCCCATCAACTTTCAGCTTTCTTTTTAGGACCCATTGCAACCAATTGACTTGCAGCCTGGTGGCAACTCAGTTAGATGCCAAGTTCGATTAGACTCAAGTCCCGTCGTTCACGGCTTCTTGCCATAAATCTGCATCCACTGAGGTTAGAGCTTCTTGGAGGGTAGAAGGATCCTCCTCTACATTCAGAACTACAAAGTCTGGGCCGAAGTCTTTAGCTACTCTAGCCCGCTTGCTCTTTTTAGTTCGGGTTCAGCATCCAAGTCTTGTGAGTTAGACCTGTCTTTAGGAATAATAGAGGAGGACGAGCCCCCACTATTTCTAGATTTAAAAGGAAACCTGTCCTCATAAAAATCAACATCATTAGATTCAATAATTACTCGTGCACAAAATCAAAGAATCTATATGCTTTACTATTAACAGCATAGCCAATGAATACACATTCATAAGCTCTACTAGCTAACTTAACTCTTTTAGGATCAGGAATCCTAACATATGCCAGACAACCCCAAGTTCTGAAATAAGAAATGTTAGGTTGTTTGTTACGAAGTAATTCATAAGGAGAAATCTTACTCTTAGTCTTTGGAATACGGTTCAAGACATAACAAACAGTGAGAAGAATTTCTCCCCACCAATGATCAGCAGCACCAGAATTTAAGGAAATAGCAACTACTAACTCAGTAAAGGTTCTATTTTTCCTTTCAGCCTTACCATTCATTTCTGGAGAATAAGGAGCTGATCTTTCATGTATGATACCATGTGAGTTATAAAACTCTACAAAAGCATCAGTATACTCAGTTCCACGATCACTACGCAACCTTTTTATTTGCTTGTTGAACTGATTCTCAAACTCTGTCACAAACAACTTAAACATATCAAAAGCATCACTCTTATTTTTCATCAAATAAACACGAGTATAATCAGAACAATCATCAATAAAGGTGATGAAATATCGTTGTCCATTTCTGGTCAGCGTTCCATTATATTCACAAATATCAGAATGAATTAAATCTAACGGTTCTGAGTTTCTAACAACAGACTTATGAGGTGTTTTTGTAATCTTAGCCTGACTACAAAAATCACATTTATCAAAGTCATTGAGGGAAACATTAGGGATAAGGCCTAAATTGCTCATATTTTTTATGAGTCTTTTGTTCACATGACAGAGTCTAGCATGCCAAATATTAACAGAAGAAGACAACATATAAGCAGAATCAGAAATTTTATTAATCTCAACATTCAGTTTAAACATGCCATCAGTAGCATAACCTTTCCCTACAAACATTCCATTCTTAGTTAAAGTAAATAAATCGGAACCTATGGTTTGTGTAAAACCAGCCTTATAAGAAGAAAACCAGAAACTAAGTTCTTTCTCATTTCCGGAGTGTGCAGTACATCCTTCAGAATGAGAGTCCTGCCAGAAGTAAACTTCAACTCAACATTACCAATACCAGCAACATTAGTGGAATGGGAATCACCCAACAGCACTTTCTTATCATCGGTGTTTTCAGAATAAGTTTTAAACATCCGACGATCATAGCAGACATGGCGTGTAGCGCCTACCACCACCCTTCTGATCCACCAATAAGGTTGATCTCAGTAATCATAGCCACAAGTGGCTCTTCTATCATGCTAGCCTGTGGTACAGGGTTAGGCATGTTCCTGCACTTTCGTGCCATATGGCCTGGTTTTCCACACCTATAACATAGGAATTGACCAGTACCATTCTTAGGGGGTTGAATTTTGTTTTCCATCGTTCTTTTGAACATTCTGTTTATTTTGTTGAAGTTATTCTTCCGGTTCTGAGGCTTGAAGTTCTTACCAGCGGGCTTGAGAACTGCAGCAGAACGCTTAGGAGCATTGTTTGCAGAGAGCTGTAAGACTTCTTCTTTCTGGTCCTGTTTTCTGGATTCTTCCTCTATACGGAGCCGAGTAATCAAACTCTCTAAGGAAAATTCCTTAGTCTTGTGCCTGAGACTGTTTTTGAAATCTTTCCAAGAAGGAGGCAACTTGTCAATTATAACAGCAATCTGAAATTGTTCATCAAGAGCCATACCTTCGGAAATTATCTCATGGGCAATTTTCTGAAGTTCGTGGGACTGCACTTCCACGGACTTATCATCAGTCATCTGGAATTTCAGGTACCTGCTAACAGCATACTTTTTGGCACCGGCTTCTTCGTCATATTTTTTGCAGGGCATCCCACAAATCCTTAGCGGTGTTTTCCAGATATAATAGTCATACAGGTTATCAGACAGACCATTAAGAATATAGTTTTTGCACATGAAATCGTTTCATTCAATTTCAGAATTCCAATACACTAGATCATCTTGTTCAGCATTATCAGGAATAACAGGCCTAGGGACAGTCAATACAGAATGAACTTTTTTAACAGTTAAGAAAAACTGCATTTTCTGTTTCCATAAAATGAGCGCCTTCAAAACGGAAGGGCTTGTTAAGGTCATTGGACATAGTTATTTCCTCGGTAGACATGATGATATAAGGCAGAAAAGAATGTTCTAAAATTGTTATAAACCGAACTGCTGTAAACAATAAAAACAGAACAAAGTTACCGGGAAATAGACTGAGTCGCGGACTATGTCGCTCTCTTTAGAACATTCACGGTACTGCCCTTTAATTTGTGCAAGCAGCTCGTACAACAACCGGATGTTCCCCAGGATAAAACAGCCTTCTCTATTGTAATTATACCGGTGGAACTGCACAAAACCACCGGGCAACTAAACACCAAAAAAGAAAAGAAACTGCTCGAGGGTTTTTGTTTTTGTGAGGAAAAATAGAGAGGAGAAGAAGATTGCTTTCTGTATTTGTGTGTTAAAAAACAGGAAATCAACACGCCTTTTATAGGAAAAATTGCAACGTAACTGCTGCTGTTTAATTAGGCACTAATCACGCAATTAAAACGGTCATAAGTTGAACGTTCAAAACGGTTACAAGATTAATGCGTGGCAAAACGTTTAGCAAAAAATCAGTGAAAACGTTTGCATGATTAACGCTCCATTAATCAGTTTTGAAAAAACGGTCAAATGTAATCAGTCAAAAACGTTTAGCAAAAATCAAGGAACTAATCACGCAATTAGCCTTGTCCAAAAAATAAGTTTATTTAATAAACCCGACCCAACCCAACCCAACCCAACCCGGCCCGGCCCGGCTCGGTTCGGTTCGGCGCGCGTGTGTGTGATAGATGGTTTACCATATAGGTCCTCCCTCTCCACAAAATGTGGGTAGCCCAAGGGCCACACCCCTTTAGCCCACTCTCTATATTATAAAGAGAGTAAAACTCTCATTTCCCACCAATGTGGGACTTTGAGTTTTTTCACAAAATTCACACACTACACACTTGTTGTTCCAACAATCCCCCACTTGAATTTTTTGAAAACATTTTCGAGCAGAATCCATACATATATAGGTTGCGCATAAACAGAAGTGTTTTTCAACTTGAACTTCGACGTAGTGAGTACGATTCAGATTCAACAAGGGTGACTCGAAGTTTTGAACCCTATCTCTGACAACGTACCACACACAACCTACTCTTGGTGTTGTTCTAGACCCGTGCTATTTCGGCCATGCACGTCTATCCCAGTGTAGTGAATGCTCTAGAAATGCTGCCACACATTTCATAGGAAGCGGCCTAACTTCCACATTCACATAGGTGAATCTATCAAGAGTACTCCTGTAGCTTGGTACTCCACTCCAAATTGGAGTATAGATTTCATTAAGAGTTCCTATTAACTCATCCTTGATCGCTTCAGGAAATTATGTCTTTTGAACATATTCAACTCATAACACACCATAACTTGTTATTACCCTTTGAACCTATTTCTTGGGATCTCCAGTTCATAGGTTGGGTTACCATTCATTTCAATGGCAATAGTCCCATTTTCTTAGAGGAAAAATGGACTTTCTCCCTAGCTAATCCTTTCGTCAAAGGATCAGCCAAGTTATTCTCAGTGCGTACGTGATCCACTCTAACAGCTCCGATAGAGAGATATTCTCTCACAGTGCTGTGCTTACGACGTATTTGTCGTCTCTTACCGTTGTAATAACGGTTCTGAACTTTTGCAATAGCCGCGGTACTATCGCAATGGATCAAGACAGCCGGTAATGGCTTTTCCCATAGGGGAATTTCACCTAGCAGGCCTCTTAACCAACCTGCTTCTTCACTAGCCGTAGCTAGTGCTATCATTTCTGACTCCATGGTGGACTGAGCCAAAATAGTCTGTTTCTTAGACTTCCAAGATACAGCTCCACCGGCTATAGAAAAAATATATCCACTAGTAGCCTTAGAGTCATCTGATAAGGTGTTCCAGTCAGCATCACTATAGCCTTCTAGTACAGCTGGAAACCTTTCATAATGCAACCCTAGGTTCATGGTCCTCTTAAGGTATCTCATGACCCTTTCAATAGCATGCCAATGCTCATTACCAGGACAACTAGTAAACCTGCCTAACAATCCCACGACATAGGCAATGTCGGGTCTAGTACAATCAGTGGCATACCGAAGGCTGCCAATGATGCTCGCATAATCAGATTGCCTTACGGCATCACCAGTGTTCTTAAATAATTTAACACTGGGATCATAAGGTGTACTAGCAGGTTTACAGTCAAAGTAACTATATTTCTTTAGGATCTTCTCAATGTAATGAGATTGATCCAAAGAAACTCCATTTTCTGTCCTAGTAATCTTAATTCCAAGGATTACATTAGCCTCTCCTAGGTCTTTCATATCAAACTCAGCATTCAACAATAGCTTTACATCATTCACAGCATGAATGTTCGAGCCAAAAATTAACAAGTCATCCACATATAGACAAATTATAGTGCATATGTCCTTCTCAAATTTTACATATATGCATTTGTCACTACCATTTATCTTAAAACCATGTGAGATGACTAAGTTATCAAATTTTTCATGCCATTGTTTAGGTGCTTGTTTGAGACCATAAAGAGATTTATCTAGCTTACATACCAGATGCTCTTTTCCTTGAACAATGAATCCTTCCGGTTGATCCATGTAGATTTCTTCTTCCAATTCACCGTTCAAGAATGCAGTCTTCACATCCATTTGATGTACTACAAGATTAAAAACAGAAGCAAGAGATATTAATACTCTAATAGATGTTACTCTAGTTACAGGTGAATAGGTATCAAAGAAATCAACATTCTCCCTTTGTCTGTAGCCTTTAGCTACCAAACGGGCTTTGAACTTATCAATGGTCCCATCAACTTTCAGCTTTCTTTTTAGGACCCATTTGCAACCAATTGACTTGCAGCCTGGTGGCAACTCAGTTAGATGCCAAGTTCGATTAGACTCAAGTGAGTCCATTTCGTCGTTCACGGCTTCTTGCCATAAATCTGCATCCACTGAGGTTAGAGCTTCTTGGAGGGTAGAAGGATCCTCCTCTACATTCAGAACTACAAAGTCTGGGCCGAAGTCTTTAGCTACTCTAGCCCGCTTGCTCTTTCTTAGTTCGGGTTCAGCATCCAAGTCTTGTGAGTTAGACCTGTCTTTAGGAATAATAGAGGAGGACGAGCCCCCACTATTTCTAGATTTAAAAGGAAACCTGTCCTCATAAAAATCAACATCATTAGATTCAATAATTACTCGTGCACTTAAATCAAAGAATCTATATGCTTTACTATTAACAGCATAGCCAATGAATACACATTCATAAGCTCTACTAGCTAACTTAACTCTTTTAGGATCAGGAATCCTAACATATGCCAGACAACCCCAAGTTCTGAAATAAGAAATGTTAGGTTGTTTGTTACGAAGTAATTCATAAGGAGAAATCTTACTCTTAGTCTTTGGAATACGGTTCAAGACATAACAAACAGTGAGAAGAATTTCTCCCCACCAATGATCAGCAGCACCAGAATTTAAGGAAATAGCAACTACTAACTCAGTAAAGGTTCTATTTTTCCTTTCAGCCTTACCATTCATTTCTGGAGAATAAGGAGCTGATCTTTCATGTATGATACCATGTGAGTTATAAAACTCTACAAAAGCATCAGTATCATACTCAGTTCCACGATCACTACGCAACCTTTTTATTTGCTTGTTGAACTGATTCTCAAACTCTGTCACAAACAACTTAAACATATCAAAAGCATCACTCTTATTTTTCATCAAATAAACACGAGTATAATCAGAACAATCATCAATAAAGGTGATGAAATATCGTTGTCCATTTCTGGTCAGCGTTCCATTATATTCACAAATATCAGAATGAATTAAATCTAACGGTTCTGAGTTTCTAACAACAGACTTATGAGGTGTTTTTGTAATCTTAGCCTGACTACAAAAATCACATTATCAAAGTCATTGAGGGAAACATTAGGGATAAGGCCTAAATTGCTCATATTTTTTATGAGTCTTTTGTTCACATGACAGAGTCTAGCATGCCAAATATTAACAGAAGAAGACAACATATAAGCAGAATCAGAAATTTTATTAATCTCAACATTCAGTTTAAACATGCCATCAGTAGCATAACCTTTCCCTACAAACATTCCATTCTTAGTTAAAGTAAATAAATCGGAACCTATGGTTTGTGTAAAACCAGCCTTATTAAGAAGAAAACCAGAAACTAAGTTCTTTCTCATTTCCGGAGTGTGCAGTACATCCTTCAGAATGAGAGTCCTGCCAGAAGTAAACTTCAACTCAACATTACCAATACCAGCAACATTAGTGGAATGGGAATCACCCAACAGCACTTTCTTATCATCGGTGTTTTCAGAATAAGTTTTAAACATCCGACGATCATAGCAGACATGGCGTGTAGCGCCAGTGTCTACCCACCACCCTTCTGATCCACCAATAAGGTTGATCTCAGTAATCATAGCCACAAGTGGCTCTTCTATCATGCTAGCCTGTGGTACAGGGTTAGGCATGTTCCTGCACTTTCGTGCCATATGGCCTGGTTTTCCACACCTATAACATAGGAATTGACCAGTACCATTCTTAGGGGGTTGAATTTGTTGCTTTCCATCGTTCTTTTGAACATTCTGTTTATTTTTGTTGAAGTTATTCTTCCGGTTCTGAGGCTTGAAGTTCTTACCAGCGGGCTTGAGAACTGCAGCAGAACGCTTAGGAGCATTGTTTGCAGAGAGCTGTAAGACTTCTTCTTTCTGGTCCTGTTTTCTGGATTCTTCCTCTATACGGAGCCGAGTAATCAAACTCTCTAAGGAAAATTCCTTAGTCTTGTGCCTGAGACTGTTTTTGAAATCTTTCCAAGAAGGAGGCAACTTGTCAATTATAACAGCA